AGCTCTGACACCCTCTTCTGACATCCAGGAAGACAGAAGGGTCAGATCCCCTGGAACTGGAGTTACAGGTGGTTGTGAGCTGCCACGTGGGTGCTGAAAACCAAATTCAGGTTGTCTAGGCGAGCAGTAAGTGCTCTTACCAGCCAGCCTCCTCTCCAGGCCCCCAGCCCTATATTTTGAGGTGAAGAGGTCGGAGCACTGAGGACAAGATAAACTCATACTGGGTTCAGATTTCTCTGCCCACTGCCTGCAGTAATGCTCTGCTGTTTTGTTTTCTCCTGCCCCATGATGCCATCCTTTGCACATTTCAGAACTTTCTGGACACTTCGGGATATAGAAAAGTAATGTTGAGTGGTTTAGCATGTGACAGTCCTAGAGCTACAAACATAAAGAACAAACACCCTCACTCTCCAGTTCCATGCAGAAGCACTTTCAGAGCCAGGTGTGGTGTGCACACTTGTAATTCCAGCACTAGGAAGGCTGAGGCAGGAGGACGGTGAGTTTGTCTGAAAAATAAAACAAACAAAAGAAAGTTCTTCTTTATTTGCTAGCCAAGGCTTGGACCCAGGGAAAGAAGAGACGGCAGAGTGAATGCTGGGTTCCTTGTCCCCACTGCCTTTTTCCTGCAGAGGGATTGCAGTCCTCCTGGGGTGGGGCCCCATGCTCCACAGTCCTCTCTCCTGGGATGCCTTCCCTGTTCGGTGAGGCCCAGGGGGGCAGGGAAACAAGCCTGTGCCCTTGAGTCCTCCAGACAGGCCTGCCCCAGAGATTGCCTACTCTCTTTGGAGGGAGGCATCACCCTCTGGGAAGGTGTGGAAAGCAACATCTGGCCTGTCTTAGCCCCAGCAATCACTCTGGGCTCCAGAGCCACTACTACGGTCCCTTTGTCCAGGGGTGGCACTGCCCTCTGTGGGCTGGCTCCTCCCACATCAACCATTAACCAAGAAAATGTGGATGGGCATGGTGGCACACACTTTAAATCCTAGCACTCGGGAGATAGAGGCAGTTGGATCCTGGTCTATATAAGGAGTTCCAGCTCAACCAAGGCTATATAGCAAGATCCTGTCTCAAAAACAAAACAAGGAAGAGAAATTGCCCCCACAGACTTGCCTACAGGCCAATCCAATCCAATGGAGGCAATTCCTCAATCCTAAAATGACCCTTAGCTTGTGTCAGTTTAACCAAACCAAACCCAAACAACAAAAACAACAAACAAAAACCCTCAAACAAACAAACAATGTACCCAAGACAGTCTCTATGGTACTTGGGGCCACTATATTAGGTCTGGAGCTTAGCCACAGCCCTGAGACACACTGGATTCAGAGTCATTCAGCATTATTCCAAGTCCCCTCCTGCTCATCTTCAGCTGGGATGAAACCAACCCATTCAGACCCTTCCTTACAGTGTCCACAACAACACTCAGAGTGAAGAGAATGTCAGCATCTCTATGTGGGTATCTTATATAATGTATACTCTTTCTTCCTGTGTAAGATGGGATCAAGCTTGTGTCTCCTACAACCTCCAGCTCTTCCCTAGAGCTTCTCATCTCTCTTCTCCTCTTTGCTTTTCCTGTCTTTTGCTGTTGACTTTTAAAAACTAAAGCAAAATTTTACATTTGTCTCAATTAAATACCGTCTGGGAGTCTTCAAGATGGCTCAGTTGAGTACAGGAGCTTGCTGCCAAGCTGGATGACCTGAGTTTAAGCTCTGGAACCCGCAGGGTGGGAGGAGTGCCCACCCTGCAAATTGTCCTCTGACCTCCATATGCACAGTGTAACACATGTGTGCACACCTGCACACACATCCACAAGATAAACTAAAATGTAATATGAACTTTAAGTACCATCTATTGCTATTTATCTATCGCTTGTCTCCCTAGTGGCCTGGGTTGGCTCTGGGTTGTCACTATGCAGCCCAGGCTGTCCTTGAATTATTATTTTCTTTTTATGGTTTTTCAAGATAGGGTTTCTCTGTGTAGCCCTGGTTGTTGTAGAACTTGCTCTATAGACCAGGATGACCTCAAATTCAGAGAGATCCACCTGCCTCTGTCTGAGTGCTGGGATTAAAGGTGTGCACCACCATGCCTGGCTGAAAGTGTGGGATTTTACTGCATTTGGTGTATTTATTTTATAAGTGTCTTGCTTGTATATATGTATATGCACCATGTACATGTCTGGTCCTCTTGGAGGTCAGAAAAGGGTGCTGGATCCTCTGGAACTGGGTTCTGGGAACTGTACCTGGGTCCTCTGGAAGAGTAGCCAATGCTCTTAACTGCCGAGCCATCTCTCCAGCCATGGTTTTGACCTCCTGACCTCCTACTGAACCCTTTGTGGACTGGGATTACAGATGTATTCCCAGGCCTAGCTCGTTTCCCTCCTACTCTGTCAAGATCTCACAGTTTTTTCATGATATGTAGATCTGATAAACACGGTTTCTACTTGACTCGAGGCTGAAATAAAAACAGCACGGGCGACTGCTTGCCCAGCATGCATGAAGCACTGGTTTAGGCCCCAGCACCGCAAAATGAAAACCCCTCCCCTGCCCACTTTCAGTAGTCAGGAACAAGAGCAGGCCCCTTTCTGGGTTGCCCATAGAGCCCTTGGCTTGCTTTGGAATCTCTGTCACTGTTTGCCTGTCTTGTCTCTATGGATTGCTGCCTTTCTCTGCCCCTGCTTCTCTCTCTCTCTCTCTCTCTCTCTCTCTCTCTCTCTCTCTCTCTCTCTCAGGTTCTTTGCCTCTCTCAGTCTCTATTTCTCTCTGTAGTCTCTGCCTCCCTCTCTCTCTCTCAGTGGCTGCTGACCTGTTTTGTATTTCCCCACTGTAGAGGTATGTGGTCTCTATGCTGCAGTCTCAGGGAATATTAAACACTGCCGCTGAAGGCCTCACAGATTCCTCGAAGCCAAGAAGAGTGTGGCTCAGAGGCAGGACACTTGCTTAGTGGGTTCCACCCACAGCACCACAACAATCCTGTAAGCAATGCAGCCTCCAGAGGCAGAGAGGAAGCCCCCTGGCCCACTTAGGCCCTCACGTGTGTTCTGAGACAAGATATTCCCATACCATGTATTATCTGACTCTTAGAACAAACCTATGAGGTCATGGTGACCCTCTTTACCAAACAGGCCCACAGGTTCCCTTTGAGACAGGATATAACTTGTTCCAGGCTGTCCAGCGAGAAGGGGCAAAGTCTGAGCTATAGGCCTGCACAAGGCACAGTACCATGAAGTGTACTTGGTTTGTTTTTAACTCTTTGGGAGCCCACCACCCAGCTCCCAAATAAATACATGGAGACTTATTCTTACTTATGAATGCCTGACCTTAGCTTGGCTTGTTTCTAGCCAGCTTTTCTAACTTAAATTATCTCATTTCTCTTTAACTATGTTTTGCCTTGGGGCTTTTAACTTTCTTTATTCTACATATCTTTCTTTACTTCTTATTCCGTGGCTGGCTGCGTGGCTGCGTGGCTGCGTGGCTGGCCCCTGGCGTCCTCCTCGCCTTCTCCTTTTCTTGCTCCTCCCTCATTTTTTGCTTCTTACTCTTTTCCTTAGATCAGGCTGTCCTCCTATTTATTCTCTCTGCCTGCCAGCCCCACCTATTTCTCTCTATTGGCCATTCAGCTCTTTATTAAACCAATCAGGTGTTTCAGACAGGCAAAGTAACACAGCTTTACAGAGTTAAACAAATGCAACCTAAAAGAATGCAACACATTTTTGCAGCATTAAACAAATATTCCACAGCATAAACGAATGTAACACATCTTCAACTAATATTCCACAACACAAGGGCCAAGTCTGAGTACTTGAAGTCTCTTTAGAACATGGCAGGTGCTCACAGAACTCTGTTGAGAACAGCAGAACAGGAGGGCCTCTTACACGCTTTCCACTGGAGACTTCTTTGTGCCTGAGAAAACTTTACATGACCTGAGTAACAGGTAACAGTCATATAAACCAAACACTTACTGATAACCATGAAGACATCTATGTTAAAGCAAATCTTTGTTATGTAGATGATTTTTCCATTTTTTAAAGGTGAAAGCAGATTTTCCTGCTAATGGAAAAGATTGCTTGCTTATTTTTATGTAAAGATGTTGTGGAATATTTCTTTAACTATGTAAAAGTGTGTTACATTTGTTTATGATGCATTTGTTTAACAATGTAAAGGTGTGTTGCATCTGTTTTACCTTACCTGCCTAAAGCACCTGATTGGTCTAATAAAAAGCTGAATAGGGGGGTGGGGCTGGAGAGATGGCTCAGCAGTTAAGAGCACTGACTGCTCGACCAGAGGACCCAGGTTCAATTCCCAGCACCCACATGGCAGCTCACCGCAGTCTGTAACAACAGTTCCAGGTACCTAACACCCTCACCCAGACATACATGTAGGCATAACAGCAATGTATATATTTTTTTAAAAAGCTGAATGTCCAATAGCTAGGCAGAGAAGGGAGAGGCAGGTCTGGTGGGCAGAGAGAATAAGTAGGAGGAGGAATCTAGGCTTGAAAAGAAAGAGAGAGAGCAAGAGAGGGAGATGCCCTGGGCCAGCCAGCCGGGCAGCCAGCGGTCAGAGTAGGATATACAGAATGAAAGAATGGTTAAAAAAAAAAAAAACAACCCAAGGCAAAACGTAGATGAAGAAAACAGGTTAATTTAAGTTAAAGAAAAAAAAGCTAGCCAGAAACAAACATAAGCTAAAGCCGAGCATTCATAACTAATAATAAATCTCCGTGTCATGATTTGGGAGCTGGTTAGTGGTCCAAAAGAAAGCCTGCTACATAAAGAGTTAAGTCTTGGCTGAACATTTGATACTTCAGGACCGTGTGGAACATCTTCAGCATTTTCAGAGTTGATCCATACTTTGATTTAAAAAATATTTATTATTATTATTTTAAATATTTATTTAATGTTGTATACAACATTCTTGCACGGCAAAAGAGGGAATCAGATCTCATTGTAGATGGTTGTGAGCCACCATGTGGGTGCTGGGAATTGAACTCAGGCCCTCTGGAAGAACAGTCAGTGCTCTTAACTTCTAAGCCATCTCTCCAGTCCCTTATTATTATTTCATAAGTGTATATGTCTATGCATGGGTATGTACACGTTTGTGTGAATGCATGCAGAAGTCAGAGGCCTTTGGCACCCTTGAAACTGGATGTAGGTGCTGGGAACTGAATTTGAGTCCTCTGGAAGAGCAACAAGTATGATCTCGCTATGTAGATCAGGCTGCCCTCAAACTCAGAGATCTGCCTGCTTCTGTGTAAGTGCTGAGATTAAAGGTATGTGCCACCAAACTGGCCTCATTGAATGAGTTTTGATGAAACTCAAGTCAATAACTTCAATAACTCAAACAGCTATTTTTTTAAATATTTACATTTCTTACTTTGTGTGTGTATGTACAGGAACATACATGCCACAGTATGCATGTGAAGGCCAGAGGACAACTTGTGGGAGTCAGGTCTCTTCTCACTCTCCTCACCCACAGGTCCTGAACATCGTGGCAGGGGACATGGCAGCAGGCTGGCATGGCACTGGAGCAGTAGCTGAGGGCACACATCTCAATCCACAGGCACAAGGCAGAGAGAGGCAGCTAACCTCAATCTCTCTCAAAGCCTGCCCCCAGTGACACACCTCCTCCAACAAGACCACACCTCCTAATCCTTCTCAAACAGGTCCACCAACTGGGGACCAAGCGTTCAAACATTGGAGCCTAAGGGTCGCTTGTAATTAAGTTCATTCATTACCTTCATTCCCTTCTTCTCCAGACTTCATTGTTAGCCACCAGGGGGCACCCCTGAGAGCTTCGTAACTTCCTGAGTAAATGACAATTATAGGAACGACAAACGACAAAAAACTTTCTTGAACCTATGATGTCTCTCGCCATTCCCCTTTTCCTGATGCAGGGGGAGGCAATAGAACGTCCCTGTGTGGGTACGAACCGGGCATTGTGTCTGTTAACATCAGCGGGGCTGGCTGGGCAGTGGGTGCTGGCGCAGGCAGCTGGGGAGGCTAAGGCAGGAGGATCTCCACGATTTCCAGACCAGCCTCATCCACATAGACCGATCATCTTAAGAAAAAAAGAAATGGGGTGTGTGTGTTTGTGGCCCGGGCTGGCCTCAATCCTCCTCTAGCCCCCCGGAGCACTGGGAGGCTTCTAGAACCAGGGGGTTCTTCCTGCTCTGGGGTGTGTCTCTCTGCAATGCGGCTTCCCTCGGGGGTGAGTATTCACTGTTTTACACAAAACACTGCATTGTCTGTTTATTTTTCAACAGTTCACGAGGTTTCCAACACTAAGTCTTTTTGTAGATGAGAAGCTGCGTCTCAGAGGACTTGAGCAATGGGTGTGTAGAGAAAGGAGGTCCGCAAGCCCAGTTCTGTGCATCTTAGGGTGTTCAAGGGGGGGGGGGTCTGGCTGTTCCTCAAGCCTCCTCAGAAAATCACTGGCGTCGGACAGGATCTCTCCGGGTCGGACTGCCTCTTTGGTTCCACTCTCCTGCACCCCAATGAATCAGGGACTCGGGCTGCATGTTGCACTGATCCCTAAAGGGTTAAGGCCTGGGTGCCGCCCCTTTTCCCGCCCGGCTGGCGGGAGTATGAATACCCTCGCCCCAGCTCCCTGCTGGAGTCGTCCGCTTCCGCTGGGTCACTGTCGCCGCCGCTACTTTTCCTCTCCCTTTAAAGCTCCGAAGGCCGCTCCCTTCTCCCGTGCTGCACGTCCTCCCGCCCTCGGTGGGCCAGACCAGCGACATGGAGGGTTGCGTCGGGGAGGAATCTTTCCAGCTGTGGGAGCTCAATCGACGCCTGGAGGCTTACCTGACCCGGGTCAAGACGCTGGAGGAGCAGAACCAGCTGCTCAGCGCCGAGCTTGGGGGACTCCGGGCGCAGTCCGGGGATGCCTCCTGGCGGGCCCGAGCCGACGACGAGCTGGCAGCCCTGCGTGTCCTCGTCGACCAGCGCTGGCGGGAGAAGCACGAGGCCGAGGTGCAGCGCGACAACCTTGCTGAAGAGCTGGAGGGCGTGGCGGGCCGGTGCCAGCAGCTGCGGCTCGCCCGGGAGCGGACCAGCGAGGAGGCGGCCTGCAGCCGGCGCGCGCTCGAGGCGGAGCAGAGTGCGCAGGGCTGGCTGAGCAGCCGGGCGGCCGAGCTGGAGCGCGAGTTAGAGGCTCTGCGGGCGGCGCACGAGGAGGAGCGAGCGCATCTGAACGCGCAGGCGGCCTGTGCGCCACGCCGGCTCCCCGCGCCTCCCCGTGGACCCCCGGCGCGGGCCCCCGAGGTGGAGGAGCTGGCCCGACGGCTCGGCGAAGCGTGGCGCGGGGCGGTGCGCGACTACCAGGAGCGCGTGGCTCACATGGAGAGCTCGCTGGGCCAGGCCCGCGAGCGGCTGGGCCGAGCCGTGCGGGGCGCTCGGGAGGGTCGCCTAGAGCTGCAGCAGCTGCAGGCTGAACGCGACGGCCTCCAGGAGCGCAGAGAGGCGCTGGAACAGAGGCTGGAGGGCCGCTGGCAGGACCGGCTGCAGGCCACTGAAAAGTTCCAGGTGAGGTGGCCACCGACCCGAGTGAGACCAGACTCTAGAAAGTGCTTAGGATGCCAAGAGACCTTCGGGAAGGGAGTGGGACAAGGGCAAGGGCAGCTGTATTCTGGAGCCCCTGCCCAGAACACGCAGCCCTAGACTTTCCCGTCCAGGCAGGGAGGATGGAATTCTGAGACCTCATGGCACACAGCTCACTTGTAAGGCTGGCAGGCCAAGACCCACTGTAGCAGCTCATCACTCTTTGAATGGCAACTTCCCTTTAGGATGGCTCCCTGCGTCCTTCCCTATGCTATTGTCAATCAGAGGGTTCCAAGCACATGCTCCCTCAAGCGCCAGAAGGTCCCTAGCAACCAAGGTGAAAGAAGGCGGGGTGAGCCACCACTGACCACCAGCCTCTCTCGGTGTCGTGACTTCTCAGCTCCCTGGAACACATTCCAGAGGCCCGAGGCCACCCTCCCCCTCATACTGCACAGATGTGACCAACAGCTGAGAAAACAGCCTCTTGCCTGGCCCAGACAGAAGTCCCAACATGGCCACCTTCCCACTCCTCTTGGAGGAGAGAGATTCCAGAACACGTGGGAAGTGGAGGAACCAGGCTTGCTATGAGGAGCGGGGGGACAGGGAGGACCCAGCTGCTTTCCTTCCAAGCCGACTCTTGAAAAATTGTTTTTTTCCTTGTTTCCGCTTTACCCCTCTCCTCCTCTCTGTAACCCATCTCCTCGACTTTACCCCATCTCCTCCCACGGGAGCCGGATTGTCAACAACATGTGCTACCATTTGGTCACCATCCTCAGGAGAAGCCTGGTCTAGGAGAGGCTAGAGCGTCCGTCCCTGTGCTTCTCTGGGGATCCAGTCCAGTGCTCTGGGCCGGGAGGATGTAGGTAGAGGAACAGGAATCTGCCCTACAGAGAAGTCCTCATTGCAGAAAGGGGGGTCAGGGCCCAGAGGGGAGGCCCCTCTACTCACGCCTCTGGCTTGCTTTGCAGCTGGCTGTGGAAGCCCTGGAGCAGGAGAAGCGGGGCCTACAGAGCCAGATCGCTCAGATCCTGGAAGGTGGGCAGCAACTGGCACACCTCAAGATGTCCCTTAGTCTGGAGGTGGCTACATACAGGTACACAGATGCACACCCAGGGCTGAGTCCTTGCCTGAATGAAGGGTTCGGGAACTTGGCTTTGTTCTTTCTCTGTGACCCTCAGCTATTGCTTTATAAAAATATTTATGTATGTGTGTTTGTGTATATGCAACATGTGCGCAGGTGTCCTAAGAGGCCAGAAGTGGGCAGGCATTGGGTCCCCTGGAGCTGGAGTTACAGGTGGTTGTGAGCAGCTCCACACTGATGCTGTGAACCAACCTCCTGTTCTTTGTAAGACAGTCAAGCACTCTTACTGCTGAACCATCTGTCCAGCCCTCAGATTCACTTGAACTTTTTAAATTACATCTATCTATCTATCTATCTATCTATCTATCTATCTATCTATCTGTAATGGAGGCTTATGAGTCCCAGGGATCAAACAGGCTGTTGCCAGGCTTGATGATGGGTACCTTGCCCACTGAGCCATCTCACCAGCCACCTCAGCTGTCACCGTCACACCTAGACTTCCACCTGAGCCCACCTGCTGCCCCTGGAGCTCAGGACCAGAAGAGGTAGCGATGTTTAAAGAGACAGCTCAGTCTTCAGGGAGGAAACTGGAGGGCACAGGCATCTGCATCCGCCCTCTCTCCAAGACAAGCAATAGCTACAGTTTCTGTGCTGGGGATACCTGGGCAGTCTCAGGAAAGAGACCTGGCAGGTGTGCCTGATCATGCCGACCTGTCATCTGGCCTAGCCTCAGCTGCATCTAGGGTAAGAGCTGGGCTCCTAGCCTTTGGCTTCCTTTCAAGCCCCTGGCTTGAAAGAGTCCCTGGCCCCACCCCACTTCCTGCCCCCCCCCCCTTTTTAGATTGCCTTGGGAAGGCTGAGGGCAACAGCGCTGTCAGTATAGCCTCTGTATGTGTCTCTTGTGGGAAAAGACCCCATCTGGGAGCCCCGCTGCTGAGGGCTGGGGCTATCACTCCAGACTACGGGGCCAGGGCAGGACGTCTCCCTTCTCCAGAACCCATTGGCAGAGTGGCAGGGGTGAGACAGGTCTAGGAGAGGTGGTGGAGGTAGGACCCAGCAATGGAAAGCCAGTGAGTAAGAAGGGCTGGAGGCACAAGGCAGGATGCTGCAGGACAGGAGAGGCTGCTCTGACGTCATGGACACTAGCTCGGGATCTCTTGGGAATTGATTTCTCCTCCAGTCAGCTCCACAGGCCACCGAGGCAGGGGCATGACTCTAAAGACCTCTGCCCTGAGGAGTCTGAGATCCTAAGACGAGGGTCTTAGCCCCAGTCAGCCTTCTGAGGAGAAGGGTTCCGGGCAGCTCAGGAATGTAACCACTAGTGTTGGGGGTCTGAAAAGGGTTTGCAGAGGGGGAGCAGAATTCATTTGCTTTTGTCTGTCACCCGCTCTGGGGACAGAGGAGGGAGCCATCCCATGGGAACAGCCTGAGAATTCCCACTTCCCCTTAGGAGCCCCCCTTCTCAAGCCCTCCAGATGGTGGTGTGGACAAAAGGCAATAATTAGCATGAGAATCAGCCTCCCTCCCAGAGGATGAGGTCATCGGCCTTGGCCTTGGGTGGGGAGGCGGGGACTGATCTGAGGAGGCCGATCTAAGCCTTAGCAATTCACTTGGCCCAGTGTCTGACTGTGGGAATCTGCATGTGGGGTCTCCCCGTGTCTCAAATATGGGTGTGACCAAGTATATAATATCTGTGGGTATATGGCTGTGAGGCTTTTGTATGACAATGGTCACAGAAGAGAATGAGCCTGCAGGGTCAGGACGTGCCACCTCATCTGGGGCTGACCCCCTTTCTCCCCCTCCCCACCAGGACTCTGCTGGAGGCTGAGAATTCCCGGTTGCAGACACCTGGCCGAAGTTCTCAGGCTTCCCTTGGCTTTCATGGTAAGAGGAGGAGCCAGCTGCTCCTGGAAGCTCCACCCTTTACTCTTGGAAGATGTTTCCTAAGCAGCACCAATCTAAGTCTTCGCTGCATGGCTCCAACTGAACTGATGTGCTCAGTCTAGCCAGTGGGGTCAGACAAAATGGCTGGTGTACTCTGGCCAGTGCGAGGGCTGCTCTATGGTGAGGTCAGGACATACTTACAGTGTTTCTTACTCTGCTTTTCCAGACGCCAAGCTGAAGCTGCATTTCCTTGGGATACCAGAGGACCAGCACCTGGGATCTGTGCTCCCTGTCCTCAGCCCAACACCCCTGCCTTCCCCCTTGCCCAGTACCCTTGAGACGCCCGTGACAACCTTTCTGAAGACCCAGGAATTCCTTCAAGCCCGAACCCCCACCTTGGCCAGCACCCCCATCCCAGCCATGGCTGAGGCTCCCTGTCCTACAAAAGCAGAGGTCAGAGCCCAGGATGCCCCTCTTTCCCTGCTCCAGACACAGGGTGGGAGGCAACAGGGTCCAGAGCCTCTCTGGGCTGAAGCCACAGGGTCTGTTTCCACTGGTGTCCTCCCAGAACTAGAGGAACCTGGGGGCAAGCAGCCTGGCCGCTTCCCCGAGGATCCAACCTCCTCAGCCCCATCTCTCAATCCTCATCACCCTGTTTTAGAGGCTAAAGATGGAGAATCCAGTGAGTCTAGAGTATCTAGCATATTCCAGGAAGATGAAGGGCAAATCTGGGAGCTAGTAGAGAAAGAAGCTGCCATAGAAGTAAAATTAGAGAGCAGCTTGGAGCAGGAAACACAAGAAGATGGTCTGGACATGGAAGAAATCCAGGATTCCCAGGGTCCTTTGCAAAAGGAAACCCTGGAGGCTCTAGGAGAGGAGACACTGATATCTCTGAAAATCCAGAGCCATGAGACACCAGGGAAGGAGAATAGCAGTTCTCTGAGGTCTATAGACGCGAACCTCGGAACACTAAAAAACCCAGAAAAAGAAAAACAAACATTACTGAAGTCTTTAGAGGAAAAGGATGTAGAGGCAGAGAAAACTCTAGAAAAGGAGGTTCCTGAACTGCCTAAGCCTTTAGGAAAAGAAGACCCAAGAGTCGAGGAGCAAGAGTTAATGTCTCCTGAAGGTACACTAGAGACAGTTTCATTTACAGGAAAGGAAAATTACGAAGCGGTGAGGTCCTCAGACGAGGAGAACTTAGAGTCATTGACAGCTTTGGAAAAGGAGAGCCAGCATCCACTGGGATGTCCAGAAGAAGAGGACCAGAGGGTTGAGAGGCTGGTAGAAAAGGAGTGTCTGGAGTCCCTGAGGTCTCTAGATGAGGAGGACCAGGAGACATATAAACCTCTGGAGAAAGAGAATCAGGAGCCGCTCAAGTCTGTAGAAGAAGAGGACCAGAGGGTTGAGAGGCTGATAGAAAAGGAGTGTCTGGAGTCCCTGAGGTCTCTAGATGAGGAGGACCAGAGGACTGTAAAACCTCTAGAAAGAGAGAATCAGGAATCTCTGAGGTCCTTTGATGAAAACCAGGAGACCATTGTACCACTAGAAAGCGAGAACCAGAAGTTACTGAAATCTCTAGAAGCAGAAGAGGAGCAGAGAATTGTGAAACCTCTAGAAAAAGTGAGCCAGGGCTCCATGGGGTCTCTAGAAAAAGAGAATGTAGAGCTCCTGAGGTCTCTAGAAGACAATGACCAGATGACTGAGGGCCTGTTAAAAGAAGAGACTCAGGAGTCCTTGTGGTTTCCTGAAGATAGAAACCAGGAGACCCAGGATCCACAGAGGTCTCTAGAAGAGGAGGACCAGAGGATTATGAATCATCTAGAAAAAGACAACCAGGAGTTCCTGGGGTCTCTAGAAGAAGAAGAGCAGGTGGTCAAGAGATCTCTAGGAAGAGAGAACCATGAACCACTGAGTTGTGTAGAAAAAAAGGACTGGATGACTGAGAGCCTGCTAGACCAAGGAAGTCAGGACTCAGGGAAGTCTCTTGAAGATGAGAACCACGAGACTTTCAGAGCCCTGAAAAAAGAGAATCCAGAGACCCTGCAACCTCTTGAAGAACAAGACCAAGAGATACAGAGATCTCTCCAACAAGAGACTCAACAGGCACTGAGGTCTGTAGGGGATGACCAGATGGCAGCGAGACCACCAGAAAAGGTGGGTCCAGAGTTTGACCAGGAAGTAGTTAGAGCTCTTGAAAACCAGAACCAAGAGTCCCTGGTGTCACTGGAAGAAAGAAGTGTGGAGGCAGTGACGTCTTCAGAAACAGAGAACATAGACCCACTGAAGAACGCAACAGGGGACCTGGAAACAATGAGCTCTATAGACACTCAAGAGTCATTGTGGTCTGCAGAAGTGACTAGAGAGACAACGAAACCTCTAGAAAATGAAATTCAAGAACCACTCGAGTATGTGGATGGGAACCAAAAGACCCTGAGACCCCTTGAAGGGGAGACTCAAGAACTGAGCTCTCCGGGCAAGTGGGACCTAGAGGCTGTGGAATCTCCAGAAGGGATGGCGGAGGGTAGGCAACAGCTGGAAGTGGAAGCGTGCCTAGAGATGGAGGAGCACCAAGAGTCACTGAGGTCTCTGGAAGAGGTGGGGCAGGAGCTGCCTGGGTCTGGAAATCCACAGAGGTGGGAGGATACGGTGGTGGTGGTGGAGAACGGAGCAGTCGAGCAGGACCCACCCTTAGGGAGGACAGGAGTGGGAAGTGAGGATGAGGCAGAGCTGCCCCGGACAGAAGGTGGGAAAGAAGATGCTGATGAGGAGAGGGAGCGGCAGTTAGATGTCACGGGCGAGGCCTGGAGCCTGGGGAGCTCTGCGCCCACAGAGCAGAGGGTCCCTAGTGAGGAAGGTAGCAGAAAAGGGAGTGCTGAGGCCCTCCAGGACCTGGAGAGACAGCCAGAGCAGATAGGGGCCCTAGAGGTCCCGGTAGCTCAGGGAATGCCAGAGGCGACAGAGCCCCTGCTGCAAGAAGAGGATGGAGCCCAAGCAGGTGGACAAGACTCCGTGGAGGCTACCCTGGGCTCAGAGGTGGCTACCGGAGCGGCACTGGGGCTAGAGCAGGATGTGGTAGGGTTAGAGGAGCCAAGGCATCTGGCCAGCGGGGAGGCCATTCACCCATCCCTGGGGGAGGAAAGTGTGGAGGCAAAGGTAGCTCAGGACTTGGAAGGGCCTGAAAAAGAACCAAAGGAGGCGGGTGCTGTGGAGTCAGAGATCTTTGAATTGCCCAAGACCAGTGACGCTCTGGAATCCAAGGGCTGCCAGGAGTCAGAGCCTGTGGTGGGCTGGGGAGTAGAGGAGGCCTCGGTGGGGACCTCAGACCACGAGGGCAGTGACGCCCCTCAGCCCAGGCCCTCAGAGACAGAGGAAGATGAGGGTACACAGGCAACACTGGCACCCCCTGGTCCCAAGCTCGTGGAACCCTGTTCCTCGCTTCCAGCTCTGGAAGATGCCTGTGAGCTGCAGCCCCAGGCTGAGGGGATCCAGGAAGCGGGGGGTGGCAGCTGGAAGGTGTGTCAGAAGTACTGGGAAAGGTAGAAGATGAGCAAGAGTTTGGTCTTGGGGAGACCCCTGAGGGCCTCCAGGATTGGGAGGACAGCAGAGAGGAAAGCGAGGCTGATGTGTTAGGGGAAACTCTCCCTGACTCTACTCCCCTGGGCCTCTACCTGAGGTCCCCTACCTCCCCAGAGTGGGACCTGGATGGAGAGCAGAGGCTCTCCCCTCAAGGGGAGGCCAGGAAGGAAGGCTGGGGTCCTGCCGTCCTGGCTTCCCAGGGCCTCAGCAGCCCACCAGGGGAAGAGGAGCAAGGCCGAGACTCTGACCTGTCGTCTGAGGAGTTTGAGGACCTGGGGACCGAGGCCTCTCTTCTCCCAGGGGTTCCCCAGGAGGCGGCCGATCATCTGGGCCAGGTGCCCCCAGTACTGGACCCTGAATGCTGGGGTCAGGGGGGGGAGTCTGATGGGTTTGCCGATGAGGAAGAGAGTGGGGAGGAGGGAGAGGAAGGAGAGCATGAGGGAGGGGCTGAGTCAGGTGCTCAGTGGTGGGGGCCAGGGCCCTCTGGTGGAGGCTTCAAGGTCCAGGATGCCACCCAAAGAGGGGACCTCCTGGAACATGAGTCTGTGGGTGTCAGTGGTCCCTGGGACGATGGCCTGAGAGGTGCTACAGCTAATATCTCTGTGGCTGCCCTGGAAACTGAGTCTCAGGACAGTGCTGAGCCTTCTGGGTCAGAGGGGTCTGAGTCTGTTTCCTCAGAGGGGGAGGATCAAGTCCCTGGCCATTTGGATGCACCCCAAGAGGTGACTAGCATGGTCCCAGGGGCAGGAGATACCTTTGGCATTGGTGGCCAGGGCCCCAGCTTGGAGTCAGAGCATGTGAATGGGAGGATGGAGAATGGGTTAGAGCAGTCTGAGGAGCAGGGAGACGTGGATGGGGGTCAGGATCAAGAACACCTTTTACAGGAACAGGAAGCGCGTACTCTAAAGGCTCCTTTGGTGGGGTCCCCTGTGCACCTAGACCCAAGCCAGTCCCTGGAGTTCCCTCGGAGTGGAGTAGATGGAGATTCCTGGTCCTCAGGGGAAGACTAGAGGGCGTTCCTGTGGCACTGAGGACTAGTGGTGTGTGTGTGTGTGGGGGGGGTCCCTTCTTGATCTGGGCCAGCATCCTCAGCTTTGATAGCTCGATCTGTGGTGTCTGTCCTGGAGAGGTGTGGCTGGCTGAGGGAGATGAGGTCCTGTCGGGGCCATCCGCTTGGACTGTCCTGAAGGCTCAAGTCAGTTGAGCCCCTGTAGTTCTAGGTCCCCTTTCTTCTGCGTCTCACCGGCTGGAAGAAGCCTGGGTTCAGAGCTTTCCCGTGGGGCTGCTCTGGCCAGGTCTTGCTAGTCCTGCCTGTCTGCAGCAGTACCATCCCTAGGTCTGGCCTATGCCCAGAGAAGGTGAGGGCAGCAGTTATGGCTCACCCCTCCCCTCATCTCAGCCTGCTGAGATCTTGTTCTGCTCCTCCTTGTTTGAATAAAGTTGTATCCCTCCCTACAAAGTCTGGCTGCTTCCTTCTAGCTTTCCGGGAGTCCTCCTGGTTGAGAAGCAATGGAGCGGAGGGGCTGCCTGTGGGGAAGGCCAGGTTGTCATCTCCACCCACAGCACTGATTACAGGGCCCTCCCCACTGGATGTCCTCCTAACTAGCCCCTCAGTGTCTCCAGCATAATTAGCCCCCTGGTCCCCAAATCTAAACAGTTGTCTCGCCTGTGATGACTGGCTGGGTTGGAGTTGGGGAGGGAGGAGAGAGGCCTGGCCACTTTAATCGGGCTGTGCAGCCTCAGGTCAACAGTTTCTCCGAAGTTCAGACCCATCCACCCATGAGGGGAAGCTGGATTGCCCTATGCCCTGGGTGGCCTCCCGGGGCTGGGGGAAGAGGAGAGAGACCAGGGGAAGCCTCCGCAGTCCTCAGCGGAGGTCTCTCGTGGCGTTTTCCTCACCTGATGAAGCAGGAGACGGGGAAGAAAGGAGCAGGGTCAGGGGAATGTGAGGGAGCTCTCCAGGTGAGAGCGTGGAGTGTGTAACGCACTATCCAGGTGAGAGCGTGGAGTGTGTAACGCACTATCCAGGTGAGAGCGTGGAGTGTGTAACGCACTATCCAGGTGAGAGCGTGGAGTGTGTAACGCACTATCCAGGTGAGAGCGTGGAGTGTGTAACGCACTATCCAGGTGAGAGCGTGGAGTGTGTAACGCACTATGTGATACCAGGAGTGGCAGGTTCTGCCTGTAGGCTTCTCTCTCAACATCTGTGCAGGGCAGGGAGGCACCCACAGGCCTCCAAGTTGGGATACCCAGATAGAAAGTATCTGCCGGGCTGGAGAGATGGCTCAGAGGTTAAGAGCACTGACTGCTCCTCCAGAGGTCCTGAGTTCAAGTCCCAGCAACCACATGGTGGCTCACAACCATCTGTAATGAGATCTGGCGCCCTCTTCTGTATATATAATAAATAAATAAATCTTTAAAAAAAAAAAAAAAAAAAGAAAGTATCTGCCGGTGGGTGATGCTCCACCGGTGGGGAGGAAGACCGGTGCCCAGGTCTAGATACCATGACAGGGATGGCACTGGCTGCCCCACACGAACGCCATCACAAGCCCAGAGCAGGCTCCTCTCCTTGGGATGGAGAGTTCCCAAGGAGGGTAGACAAAGGCTGTCCTAGCCAGCTGGCACTGTGGCCTCCTCTGTGCACACCCTTCCTTCAAATCTATGTTCTGGTTCCGGGGCCGTTTCATCCACACCCTTGCCCCCCAGGGGTCCAGGATCCCGATTCTCCTACCCCACCCTCCTGGCAGCCCAAGCCTCCGCTCTCTCTTTCCTGTACACTCATAACAAGGTTCTCCTGTCTGGTCTGCCAGCTGACAGGCAGAGGCCAGCGTGTTGGCATCAGGGCAGGCAGAGCCTGCCCCTCTAATGGGACAAGACATCCTGTGCTTTCTCTCCAGGCCCTTGGGTACCACGGCTTGGGTTAACCCCAAGGACAGAGCTGAGCCAACTAGCCCTGCCCTGTACCAGATCCCCATCCCGTACCCTCACCAGCGTGTGGTCCTCTGCAGTTATCCCAGCTTCCCACTGATGCTGGTAACTCGACACAGGGGTCAGGATGTAAGTGAGAAGCGAGGACTTCCCTAAGCAGGTATCTCTACAGCAGGAGGCGTGGGCTGTGTGGAAATGGTCCTGTGTCCAAGCAACAGGAAGGGCAAGAGCTGGACAGTGACAGGGACGCCCTGGTTGTGATCATCAGCGTGGTTGTCATTTTACTGACCTTCTACGAAGTGCAGACTCTGAAAATACCAACAACATACAGCACAGCTCCAGGCAGAGGAAGCTTTAGCAGCTCCTGAGCAAAGGCTGCCAGGTTGAAACTGTCTCTGGAGACAGATGCGTGCTGGGTAGGGCACAGAGCAGGGCAGGGCAGGCTACCCTGAGTGCTGGAGAGAACACTGGGGTGTGCGGTAGTACCTAGGACAGAAGAGATCTGGGGCACTGGGAGACAGAAAGCAGGCGGAGTGGTGGGCAGGGAAGAGGCTGGGGAGAAGGCTTGGGGGGACTGCAGGTAGCCCTGGCTGTGGGCAAAGTCCTCACCAAGAAGCCAGGAGGCATGGACTCTTCCTCAGAGAAATGGATGCTTCTGAAGGTTTGTGCACAGGAACCACCGCCAGGACTTCTGTTTCCTGAGAACAGGCTGAGCAGGAACAGGAGGGAGTCTGCCCTGGTGCAGGTGCAGGCCAAGGTGCAGGAGGGGCCAAGGGAGAGATGGGGGGGGGCAGAGTGAAGTCTCAGGAGCTGTGGGGGAGACTAGGAGCACAGGACAGCATGACCCAGGGCTGTGGGCAAGCACTGGACGTGTGCTGCCACTCTCCAAGACAGAGAAGCTTGGGACAGGGCAGAGGGTATGCTTGGGACCCAGGACTCAGGAGAGAGGACCAAGTAGGGACCAGAGTTGGAATCTCAGCAGAGCTTGTATAGAGTGAGGAGAGGCCCACAGAGACCCTGGGAACTCCCAGAGGAGAGGGGGACCCTGCAGAAGGCCGACCAAGTAGCCCAAGAGGACGAAAACAACCTTATAGTGCTTCAGGGGGCAAGGACTGGTTGGTGCCGGAAGTCCTTGAGGACAGAGTGAATGAGTGGCAGCAGGACACACTTCTAAGGGTGGAGTCCCCACAGAAGGGAATGAGGAGTGGGGCAAGAGATGAAACATTCCCCAACACACACACAGCATGAGACAGGGGGAGGTTATTCTGGGGCCTCCTCTGGTAAATATAGCCTCTGAGCTAGCCGGAGACAGGCTTGGGGGGGGGGTGTCGGGCGGAGGTGGCTTCCTCAGTTTGTTTGGGGCACTTCCTTATAAGGCTGTGCAGGCTGAGGTGCCTCCAAGGGTGAGGTCAGGGGCAGAGGCTCCCTCCAGCCCAGCCTGATGCTGTCCCTGGAGCTGCGGGAGTCTCAAAGGAAATCAAAGTCCAGGCTTTGTGTTCCAGCCAAAGGCGCTCTGAGTGTGGGCCTCTTGAAGCGCTCCCTCCGCCTGCCCACTGTGAGCACCCATCCTGGGTGGGGCTCTCGGAAGGTGATCTTGAGCCCCTGGACCCTCAGAGTCTGGGCTTTTCACCTGGAAGGTACTGGGTGAACCGAATCCTTCCTTGAGGCTCCATCCAGATCGTTCTGACATGAATGACATCACCCTCGACCTCCAGTGCTCAGCCTCCGGGTCAAAGAATCGGCATTCATTCATTGTCTGAAAGAAATCCCCCTCTTCATTCCTGTGCTGCCCACAGCCCACACCCCAGCCTCGCCCTGGGCCACCAGCTGCTGCCCCGACCTGTGCTCCGGCAGCTGCTGTCAATCATGCCATCCTCTCTGGTGGGGGATGAAGGAATGTGATTTCATTTTGTCTGGAATGTGCTGTCTGTACTTCCCCGGGAAGGCAAGCCCACCCAGCCCAGAAAACCCGATTAGACTCTGGCTCAGGGACAGGCAGGCTCCCTAGTGAGTTCCTGTTGTACCCCATCCCACCTCTCACCTAAATTCTAGGATGGGTACTGCCACAGGATGATTGGAAGTTAGACTTGAGTCCTCCTGGGAGGAGGAGGAAGAGTGATTTCTCTCCTAGTACAGGTCCCCGAGCCCACAGGCCACCTTAGGACCACACTAGAGCACGCTGCTGTACAACCATGGACACAGCCTGGCTCAGGGGCCGAGGACCTCAGCCGTCTGCATTGTCAGGAAGAGGGAAAGGTGTTTCTTCTTCTAGGGTCCCTGCTTCCTTCACCCCTCACCCCCTCACCCCACCTTCTGACTCCACAATCCAGCCCCTGGCTGCATCTCAGGGGTGGCAGACCTGCCTCTTGTCCCAGCCCTCTCCAGGCCTGGTGCCCAGGTGCTCCAATGTCAGTGTGCCTCTTGTAGCTTAACTGCCTTTCTGCATGCCCTGCCCCAAAAGGATAGGCCCCAGGTGTCTGAACCCCAGGTCCTGGCACCCTCTTCTTCCCTCTTAGAGTCTCCTCCTTCAGTCCTGATGAACTCCCCTCCCCCAGCTCCATCCTCCCTCCCGACCCTTAGGACTCAGCTGTGGCTCCAGAAATAAACTAAGGCAGGTGCCAGGAGGCCTCTGTCGAGGAACCCCCTCCCTTCAGCTGTGGGCTCAGCTGCTCATAATCCGTTGGCCCTGGGCCCCAGGAAGGGTGCCTCCTCAGGAGATCTGGGCTAGCCCTGGGCTCCTCCTGGGTTCTCTGGGCCCTTTGTCCTCATTAATGAACGCCTCCCTCACCACTCAGGGGTCCCTTCAACCTTCCCCCTCTTCCTCAGCCCTCCAGAGTCGCTCTGTCTCTCCAGGATTGCTCTGAGTTCCAGGCACCTTAGGGAACTTCAGCTGTAATGGGGAAACTGAGGTATAGAGTGATACATCTTGTCAATGATGTAGTGTCTCCAGATGCCACTTGGGGTCAGCAGAACTTGGGCCAGGGAGCTTTGGGCTGCCTCACATTGAGTATTAAATATGAGTAGAATTTAATTCCAGTCTTAAGTGGCCAACAGTCTTCTCTCTATTAACAATCAACTTAAACACCAAGACAGAACCAACTGGGTACCCAGAGGCTCAGGGGTTCACCCACTTAGCCTGTCACCTGAGCCATTGGCTTAGTGGGTCGGTGTCCCCATATCCTACCAGCTTCTCTTTCCCGCCTTTCCTCAGGCTCTGCCCAGGAGGAAGCTAGCTATTTTGCAGCAAGCCAAATAGAAATCAGACCTCAGAAAAGACCTCCATCTGGGGAAGGGAGAGCTGCTTGCATCATGCCCTGAGAGAGGGGGCACCTGGCAGGCAGGCACTGTGGGTCAGGATCTGACTACAGTGCCTGAAAAAGATCTCTGACAGGCTGGGCATTTTTAGAAGTCTTCTGGAACTGCTAAGTCACTGTGGACACCAGGACAATGGGACCCTTTCTCTCCCCATGCAGGAGTCAGGCCCACAGACAAAGGCCCCCAGTGAGGCTGAGACAGTCCTGTAGGAGGCAAGGGTATGGTGAGCAATAGGGTCAGAGTGTGTCGGAGCCTCCAGGGGCAGCAGGAACCTGGCAGAAAGCCAAATCACAGGCTCCAAGGCCCTGGGCAATGCTCAAGCCCCTACCTGTTATCCAGGGTGGGTCTCTCTTTTCCAATGCCTCCTAAACCCCGGGACAGGACACCCTGTTGGGAACCCCACTCTACTCATGTGAAGGAGGCTGAGTGCTGGACCACGCAGTCAGGGTCCTGATAGGGTGTGGCCCTACTCCATCTCTCCAAAGAGGTACGCGGGTGCTCCATATGGGGCCTCTTTCTGAGGCTCAGGCTAGCTACCTTCTGTGCAGGGCACTGCTGAGTCATCCCAGGACACCCCCCCTTTCTCCCCCTTCCCCAGGAAGCACAGCTTAGCGAGGCCCGAGCTTCCTGTTTGCTGCTCTGCCAGAGAAGCCCGGCAGGTGGTGGAGAATTCTTGTTCTAGTCCGCTATCTACTTCTGGAACTCTCCTCGTCCACAGAGCAGAGAAGATGGTGGACCCGTGCCATGGGAGACTTGAGAAGCACCTTGGGGAGAGAGTTGGGAAGCCCAGGGTGCCACAAATCCACCGTAGTACTAGACTTTGCCTCAGTGAGTTCTGAACCCGAAGGACAGACAGACACTGCCTCCTCTCCAGCCTGCTCCTTTTCAGGATCCATCCTCCAAGGTCACCGAGGTCATCCATTCACAGTTCCAGCTAAATGCCTCGCCAGCCTCCATCAGACATTGCATGTGCAACCACAGGCCAATACAGGATAGAGCAGGGTCCACTCCAACCCCAGCCTCATTCTCTCCCTTATAGGGCCTTAAGAACCATTTTGTACTCTTGGGCATTCTGGGCTGGCTGTGTGGGTAGGCAGATAAGACCAGGCCAGGAGAAAGGAAGGTGATAAGCTCTGAGAAATCAGTGCTTTCTCAAAGAAGGGCCAGGAGAGCCCCAGGTCCTCAGCACTACCTTCCCAAGCCCCTTAGGAAAGAACCAAGAGTCGCCAGGTAGATTAATGGGCATAAGGATTGTGTCCACATGACACTCAATGCTGAGTGAGCCAGGTGTGAGGATCTGCAGCCATAACTTGTCTTCATCAGGACGGGCACTCCAGCCAAGGCAAGGCTGCACACTGAGGAGTCCCCGGAGCTCTGGCTGGTTCAGACACCACCGGTCATCTACTTCCTAGCCTGCAGTGACCTCATCACTTCAGCCTCCGCTGACTCAGCCCGGGCCAGCCCAGTCTGGCCGGCCGGAAGTCCTGCTCTCCCCCCACTTAACTGCTCCTCACTTCTAACAGTCCCCGCAAGACAGAGAGGCCACGCCGCCGCCTGGTGGCCTTTTGGCCTCTCTGGTCTCGGTCCATCACGTCGTCTAGAATCACATACCTGTATCAGCTGCGCCCTCTACTGGTCACAGCCTGTGAGACCCTTGGCGTGGCGGAGGACACTGGTCCTTCTTGCCTTGTTTTTTTAAATTTGCATCCTCCTGCTTCTCCGTCCATCACCCAGCCTTCCCTTCATCACTGCAGTTCCTGGAGGCACTCTCTGAAGCTCAGAATGAAGCCACCAGGAGCCCCCCTCTCCCCAAACCGGACTCTTCATTCTGCTGATGTCCCCATACAGGCAGTGATGAATCCTCAACCGACTGGGCAACTCTTTTGCACCAGGCACTGCTCTATCCACCAACTTCTTGGTGACTTCTCTGACCCTTTTGCAAGCTAGTAATTGCCGCGGCCCTACTCACACCTACCCTTGGAGGTTCTGCCCAGCACTGTCTGTCCACACTCACACAGAAGCATCAAACTTGTTTGGGTTCAAACAACTTTATTTCCATATGGTTTTGCTGGCACTCCACCCTGCAAACCCTTTGAAAATTAAGAATGAGTAGCACAGTGTCCCCTAGAGAAACTGAGGGACAAGGAGGCAGCTGACATAAGAGAGAAGTTGAGGCACTTAGGGACTTACCCATTGTCCTGAGGGTAAAACCTGAGGGCCAGGTGTAAGAGAGAGGGCCTAGGCTGGGTGGAGCCATCCAAGTGTTTCCCAGAAACCCCTTCTGGCACTCCAGCCCCACCCCTCTCATGCCACTCCCTGTTATAGGAAGTGCACAGGCAGCTGAAGAGATAGGGCAGTGCTGGGGGCAGCAATATTCCAGGCCAGCTCCCTAAAGACTGGATGGAGGTGACAACAGTGACTTCCTGTGCCTTGGGAGACGTCCTTGTGGTCCTTCTGGGGTGTCCGCTGAGCGCAGAGCACGGGCCTGGGGAAGACACACATACCCTCCACACTGGGTTCTCCCTTAGTCTCCTCAGTACCCTGAGTCCTTGATTTAACTCCTGACCTAATCAAAATACTTGCCCTGCCCTTAGGGGCCCAAGAGTGGTTGCATGTTCTCAGCCATCTGCACCCAAGGGGTCTCCAGAGCTCCAGCCCACTTCCTCCTATTGGCCTCAGAGAGAGGCAGTGGTCACTCCAAGCTCACAGTCGGTGAACGACAGGCAGAACGGGTCTTGAGCCCAGGGCTTGCAAGTAGCTGGTGGCCCCCACCTGCTCCCTCTTGTCACTCACAGGCCTTCGGGGCACACAGGAAATCTGAGGGGCCTCCCAGAGTCCGTTCTCCTGGCAGCGGATCAAAGGCAGGTTGCGCTGGGCCAGCCCCTCTCGGCACCGGTATCGTAGTACGGTGTCCACCGCATAGCGCAGCAGAGGACGACCAAATATTTGAGCCAGGGGCAGCTGTGGTGGAGGCCCACAGGACACTGCAAGGGGCACACAGTTAGAAGTGAGAGCCTGGCTTGTGGATGATGGTTCCCAGAAACCTGATGGGGAGGAAAGGAGTGGACACAACTGACGAGAAAAAGTAGGGGTTCTGAGCGGGCCAATGTAATGTGTCGCCCCCCCGCAGTCTGGGCTCTTCTGGGTAGCTTTGCTCTCCTTTTGTAAGTGGCAGTCCCAGCCACCCCTCCCCTTGTCGGCCCTCACCAAGCCCCGTCTTGCAGGTGTAGGATAGGTGGTAGTTGCAAGGCACGTCACTCCACTGTCCCTGGTCATGCCACACCATGACCACACAGTTCTCCCCAGACAGGAAGTAGCTGTCAGGCTGCCCAGGGTTCCAGTTTTCATAGAGCTGGGAAGGGGAAGTGGAGGAGGTGGTGAGAAGCTTAAACCCCCTAAGTACCAGGAGGAATGGATGGCCTCCGAGAACTAGAGGGAGGGCTTGGGGGTACCCGGGGATGTGGAAGGGCAGGGGTCTGGTGACTGGGACAGGGGCTTTGCAGGAAAGAGGAGACGGAGACAAGGAAAGAAGGGGTCCAGGGGAAAGACGGGAGCAGAGGAGGGCAGGAAGGGAGGGAGAGACCGTGACAGTTACTGAGGGCAGAAGGGCATCCTGGAAGTGACCTAGCCGACATTGCAGTAAGAGTCCTCACCAGAGGGGCACCATCGGACCACAAGAAGTCACCCTCGATGGTCCGGTCATTGAGCCCAATCCACTGGTACTCCCGGTAGCGATCTGGGGAGAAGAACCAGAGGTGCAGTGGGCAGTAAGCCCTGTGTGCCTGGGCAGTGACTGACCTTGTAGGGAGTCCATCCAAAAACCTGCTCCCTAAGTCTCGCTGGCTTGTGGCTGCTGGCTCAGGAACAGGCTCCTCTACCAGGAGAGCAGCACCACCAATGGACTGTCTCCATCCCTCTTTTCTCTCTTTTTCCCCAGGTAAGATAATTATATTGAATGCCATAAAGACTCCCTAAATTCTTTTCTTTTGAAAGTTTTTAATTTTTTATTTTATGTATATGGGTATTTCATCTGCATAAATGTCTGTGTATCACTTGTGTACAGTGTCTTCAGAGGCCAGAGGGCTTCAGATTCCCAGGAACTAGATGGTTGTGAGCTGTCCTGTGAGTGCTGGGAATCGAACCCTGGATCCTTCAGGAAAGCAGCCAGGGCTCTTAACCTCTCTAGCCTGTCTCCCTGTTTTCTTAAGTAACCTCCACACCCCATGGAGGCCAGGGCATGCAGGTGGAGAATAGCACTTGGGGAGGGAAAGAGGAAGAGCAAACCTTGTTACCACAGAGTTAGGGAAGCAGACGCACTGGGAAACAGGGAGCCCGGCAGCCTAGGTAGCCCTGCAAATGTAGGACATGTTGCCCAATCATCCCACAGCACGCCTCCCAATGAGTGAGAGGCAGAAGGAGTGAGGGAAGGGAGGGAGAAGAGAGAGAGAGAGAGAGAGAGAGAGAGAGAGAGAGAGAGAGAGAGAGAGAGAGAGAGAGAGAGAGAGAGGAAGAGAGAGAGAAAAAGAGAGAGAGAGAAAAAGAGAGAGAAGAGAGAGAGAGAGAGAGAGAGAGAGAGAGAGAGAGAGAGAGAGAGAGAGAGAGAGGAGTGAGTACAGAGTAAGAAAGGAGTGGAGGGAGGAAGGAGTGAGGAGTGGGCTTGGTGCAGAGCATGCGCAGGAAGCCAGGCTCCACCCACCGTTGACGAAGTCCTGCTCCTCTGGGGTGCAGATGCTGGTCAGATGCGCACCTAGTGCTCGGCACTGACTTTCTGCCTCCTCCCAGCTCCTCCGTGTGGAAAAGTGCTTGTAGCAGGCACCCTGGAAGGCTTCCCAGCCAGGGCTGCAGAAGTGGAGGCCTGGAGCACAGGAGAGGGAACGTTTTAGGCTGCCAGGTCTCAGATTGGCTTCTTCAACTGGCCGGCTAGCAGCAGGAGGGAGGGCTTAGAGCCACTCCAGTGCGTCCCAGGAGCCCTCGGCGGCGCTTGGGCAGTGGCTCGGTCAGCTGGCTCATCAGCCCTGGCCTGTGCAGCCCTCCATGCTGGAGAAGAGTCTACCCTCTCCCTGCCCCGGAGGCAGGACAGTGAGAGTGAAGTTAGGACCAGCTACGTAACAAGGCCCAAACCAGTGACCTCCCTCCCCCTTGGGAACTAGTATATTGGGGTAGGGTCCAGTCTTTCGACCTGCCTCCTTGCCCCTCGAACACACTCACCAACATCGCACAGGTCCCCCCCCATAGCCTGGCAAACATAGGCAGCGGAAACCCTCCTTCTCCTCCAAGCATGTCCCACCATTGTGGCAGGGGCTGGGGATACAGTCACCTGACGGGGAGAGAAGTGAAGTGCAGGAGCATGAGGGGGATGCTGTGCAGGGGTCTGCAGAGGGGGGTTCAGGGTCCCCCAGCCCAGACACCTTCCAGACCAGGGAGGTAACAGTCCTGCCTAGAGCGGGCCCTTGCTGGAGCCCACCCCCTAGTTCTGGGCTTCTCTCCTCACTATAACTGGCTCATCCTTGCAGAAGGCCATCATGCTCCCACCAGTGTGAGCCCTGATCAGCTGACGGGAAGAAGAAAGGGGAGAAGCCCTGGGCTGTCAGTTATGAGGCCTGGATTCCTGCCAGTCTCAGGCCGGGCTACCCGCCTTCCCCAGCCTTCTCTCTGGGCCCTGCCGAGGTGCTGGAGGAGCTGCCCGCATCTACTCCATTCTGGTCGAGAAGACCAGAGAAAGTGGCTTCTTTAACCAGCAGTGTAGACCAGCTCCCTCCGAACTATTCCCACCAGCAGCCAAAGGCCCGGGATGCTTCATGCCGGCACGGGCAGGGGTGGGGGAAGGAGAAGCTGAGTTAATTTGCTGGATGACCTAGCTGTAGGATAGGCTGGACCGATCAGCATCCCTTCCTCACTTCTCTCTCCACCAACAGTCTCCCCAGTGAGGTGAAGCCTGGTGTCAGGTGATGAAGGTGAGAGTCTCTGTTTCCCCAGTCTCCTCCACTTCCTGGGCAGCCCTCTAACCTTGGGAGATACACTCCTAAGCTCGGTCCTCGGTCCCCCTGCTCACTAAGGCATAAGTCCCAAACCTGGCTGTGGGCTACAGGGCCTGGACCTTGGCTGGGCAGTGTGGGGTGAAGGGACTCCTTTTGGGGTCTCCTTCCTCCTTTTGCACCCCACTGAGCCAGAAAGTATTTCTTTCCCACCTCCAACATAGTGGGCGTGGGGCCTCTGGCTCCCTCTATGGGTGGGCTGATACTGTAGTAAGCCCCTTCTCACTACACCCCCTCCAAGGCCAGGGGGCAGAAAAGGTAGCAGCTGAAATGGGTGAGCTGATGACATGGGGGTGCTCCTCCACTTGGGCCATGGAGGAGCGGTGAGAAGCGGGGAGGACTCAGCCTTGGCTGAGGGAACCGTCGGCTTCTGGGCCAGAAGGCTCCTCTCAGATCGTGGAAGCCAGCTCCTTTCCTCCCATCCCCCCACCCCTGCTCCACGTGAGACAGATCCTTGGTGTTGAAGAGCATAAATCCACTTCTCCTGGGGTTGGGGGTGGTCATTAGTGCAGGGTTAGTGCAGGAGGGCGACACTGGGCACAGGGGGCAGTAGTACTGTCTCTTAGTGGACACACGAAGGAAGATGGTGTGCGTAAACCTTGGGAAGCCAGAGAACTGGCCCCATGCAGGACCTGCCTGGGTAGGTAACACCCCACACCCTGGCTGTGTGGGTTTCTTCTGTAGGTGACAGAGGACTCCCTTGGGTGATGTGTACAGTCAAGTCTGGGGTCTCAGTAGTATGAGGGGAAGTGTAGATGCCCGAGGAGAGACAGAGGGGAACAGCAAGGGGCCGCTGCCCTGTTGGAAGAGCGAGGATGTTGGCTGAAGAAGAGTGGCAAAGAGACACGTGGAGAGACACAGAGGGATGGAGAGGGCACATGGGACGAGAGATTCCCGATTCAGACTCAGTTATGAGCAGAGAAGACAGCTGGAAATGGACAGGGTGTCAACAGTGGGTACAAAGCACTTTAATAGAGATTTATTTCCAAGGCTTGTTTTCCACGAAACAGTCAAAAAAATACTTCACAGAAGTAGTGGCTTAAGGCTCTTTGGGCTGAATATTCTGGTCCCCAGAGGTGAGGGGCAGGTATGGTCTCTCAGGCTTCCCCGGAATCGCTGAGAGGTGATTAAAGGGATAGAGCAAAGGGTACGGGGCGGGGGGGGGGGGAAGGGGGTGCAGCAGATGACAGGCCTGGCTTCAGAGGGTGTGATGGGTGGTGAGGGCACCAGGAAGAGGCATGAGGACATTCTGTGTGGCCAGTGAGATGTGAGCTACCGCAGAGGGCCCAAGGGTCAGTAGTGGGGCTTGGGTAGCAGAGAGGAACAGAGAACGGGGTGGAAGTGCAAGATGGGACACCCAAGACTGGAGAGCCACAAGGAACGATAGGGAAGGGGATGAGAGCAAAGGACCAGAGGGTCCGGGGAGAAGGCGGATTAAAGGCCGACATGTCAGGTGGCCCAGAGCTGGAGAAGGAGAAAAAGGAAGAATGCGGGCATTGACCCTTCAGCAGAATTACCTGATGAGGGAGCCACAGCCACTCCACCTCGGCTGGCACTGTCGGTGGGCAGTACTGGCTGGGCCTGCACTGAGGTCCCTGCCAAAACAGTTCTTCCAGACTTCTCTCCTGAGGGGGTCTCCAGCTCCCTGGCACCCTCAGGGGCCCACGTGGCTGGAAGCAGGGAAGGGCCATCCTCCGAGCTGGAGCTCCCTGCCTCCTCACTCTCTCGAGGGACCCCGGAGAGCTCGGGGCTCCCAGTTTCCCCCACTACTTCTCTTGCCCCATCTGGAGTGGATGTGAGACTTCCCTCTCTTGGGGGGAGTAAAGTCTCTGCAGGTGGTCCATGGACCCTGGGAGGCCTGGGAGAAGGTGATGCACCCAGCTGCAGAACGTCCCCGGCTGGTGGGGACACCTGGGAGAGTGACTGCTCTGTTTCCAAGCCAGTGGGGAGAGGGCTGCTGAGCTCCCTGGGCCACACCCACAGGTCCTCCTGCTCCTTCTCTTTCTCCAGAGCCTCGGTGTCTTTGTGTCTTTCTTCTTCCTCCAGGGCTGCGGCTTCCTCTTCTGAGGACGCGGTAGGTGGTGCACTGGATTGGGTTTCCGATTCTGACCACAGCAAAACAGTTCAGCACCAGGGACAGCACCCCCAGAGCAAGCTGGGGAAGGGTGGGGTCTGGGGGAGGGAGGGCACCTGGGAGACCTGGGAGAGGGGTGTCCTTGGTGCACTGTCTGTCGGGAAGAACTCTGACCCCGGGCTACATTGTGAGGCAACACTCTGGAGGGTTCTGCAAGCTGCCTCTAGCTCGGGCAGACAAGGATGTTGCATTTCCCAGTCTTATCTATCTGGGGGTAGGTAAAGAATGGATTTCCTTCCCAGAGAGCACCCTCTAAACACATGCTTCTCTAGCTGCAGAGAACTGGAGGTGGAATTTACTTGAATACCACGTTTGTGAGAGGGACAGGAAAGATGCCTTGTGTGGTGGAGCTGCTGGTCAGGCCAGAATTATGGCAGCTGTGACCCCGGCATCCACCTGGGCTTGCCCTTCTGCCCCAACTCCTCTCAGGTGTTAGAATCCAAGGTATGGGCTTAAAGTTACCTAGAAGAATCCTAGGGGCCTCTGATGGGTCTTCTGGGGAGGAGCTGCCTCCTCCCCCATCCTCCATGATGGGAATGGAGTAGATGGCCCCACGAGACTCGCTCTCCATAGCTTCCCGAGGTAACTGCAGTTCCTCCAGTTTCTCTGTCACTGTGACAATGGCCTCTAGTCCATCAGAGGCTGGGCTGGAGGCCTCAGAGAAGGCAGAGGGCTGGGCAGAGTCTGTGGCAAGAGGAAAAGGCCAATGGAGAGCTAAGTAGGCAGCTGAGTCCTTCTAGGGCATGGCCTGCATTTGAGACAACAGGCCCTGGAATGTGCTTCATCCTTCCGCAGCTTCTCACAGGGAGCCCAAGGGCATCCTGGAAGTCATCACTCCTCCCTCAAGTACTAATGGGGTGCCCACTAGTTTTCAGCCAAGCATTTTCTGGGTATGGTATAGAGAATGCTGGGGAAAGCATCCTGAGAAAACAGACATAGGCAATAAACACATTAAATACACAATGAAAGGAACACTTGAGAAGTTATAAGACAAAGTGGGGGCTCATTTTCCTTCAGAGGGGTCTGGAACATCTGAACGAGCTGCTCCCTGAAGTGAGGGAACACAGAGTGGGTGGATGGAGCAGTCTCTGAGTCTGGGTTGAGAAGGGTACAGACTCCATCCCCCAGGCACATCACTGACTGGGGAAGTTGGAGCTCACTAAGGCAACAGAGAAAAAGGGAGGGAGCACCTTCTGCGTGCTCTGCTCAGTGGCTTGGGATGAACTGCCTTGTCCCCTGGGGAAGGAACACAGGACAGAGCCAATGTCTCCAAAGTAGAATTGGGCTAAGAGGACCCCAGAGGGCTGTCTCCGGCCAGGACAGACAGAACTGTATGTCCCTGGCCCCCTGACCTGTTCCAGTGAGTCTTGCTCCATCCCACTCCAGACCAGCAAACCTGCATCTCCTCTGCCCGACCTCCATCTTCTCTCCCCACCTCTCCCCACTAATGTCTCTTACTGTCTCTTTCAGGACAGAGTGCTTAGCTCAGAACCTACACCCAGCTGACTTCCAGGTACCACCCTCTGTCCACTCATCAGCATTCGATGTTGAAAGACCTGACACCTGTAAGCTGTAGGGTCTGGGGCACACTCAGGAGCTCCTGGGGGCTTGTGGCTCACTGAAGAACTGGGACAGTTGGTTTGTGGGTGGGAAAGAGTGTCAGCCACCTGTGCTGGCCAATATGCTGACAGAGATGTGGGGACTGAGGCAACTTTGGAACTGGTGGCAACGGGTACAGGCCACTGAGGGGGAGGCAGGTGAAATGACGCAGAGGACACAGGGAAGATGCCCAGACCCTAGATGACAAGCTGAGCACCATTAAGACCCCTGTGGGCAAATGACCAAGAAGATGGTGAAGGCGAGGCTAGACTTCCAGGCCACTCACCTCGGAAGCAGTAGACATTGAAGCGGTTCTGCTTGCTGGGGAAGCCGGTCTGGTTGGGGAAGAGGAAGAGGGTCTTGACTCCCGGCAGACCCCCACCACAGCGTTGGCTGGGAGTGACGATGGGGTAGCGCACGCTGCCATCAGCCAGCCAGCCGGGGCTGCATCGGTCCAGGCCACCATTCCAGGCTGCATACAGCTGGCCTGTGCTGGCAATCTGTGCGCCCCGTTCCAGACAGTAGTCCCGAGCCTCCTCCCATGTCAGCTTGCCGGGAGGGGCGCCCAGAAACAGTTCTCCTGAGTGAGAAGAGGAGCTGGGTCATCAGGCAGTCGGCAGTCCTTCACCCTGGACTCTTACAGGTCCCCAAGCAAGCTCATTCCTGACATGGGGGTCACCTTGCCCACCTGACAGTATTAAGGTCTGCATGAAACCCAAGATGAAAACGAGTGTGTAGAGGAGCCTGACCCCAACTCCTCACTCTATCTAGGGTTTGGCACCGCTGCCACTCACCCCCAGTTGGCAGCTACCTGTCGGGTTGGCTCATGGCTTGCTTCTGAGACAGTGTTTGGAGGAGTACATCAACTGCCCGCCTATTCTGCCCTTAGACACACGAAGTCTACTGGAGGCCCCAGAAGAAACCAGGGGCCTTGTTGCAGAAGGGCTTCTCACTCTCAATCACCATTTAGGTCTTCAGCATAACAGTAGACATCGTAGAGGTCCTCAGGACCCACCACTCCGTAGTTCCGGACTCCAGGGTAGCCGTCCATGTCTCCATAGCAGGCCTCCCGTGGGTTCTGGATGGGGTACCTAAGAGAGAGGAAGAGCCTAAGGACTGGTGTCTTCCCCCAGGAGGCTGTTCCATATCAACTCTACTGCTGTGTGACAAGTGGGGAGGGGGATGTCAGGATGCAGGGAAGTACGCCCCAGGCAGGGCTTCATCCACTTTCCTCGGGCCGCACCCGGATATGACCAAGGGCCCCCGGTCCACACCCCCAGCCCACCTCACAGTCTGGTCGGACAGCCAGCCGGCATCACACTGCTCATAGCCGCCGAGGTAGGCAGCATAGAGCTGCTCAGGGGTGGCGATCTGGGCACCTATGCGGGCACAGGCTTCCTGGGCTCCCGCGAAGGAGAAGGCATAACGGGCAGAGCCCTCTCGGTAGAGGAAGACGACCCCTGAGGAGTAGAGAGGACTCCTGAGCCTGACATCACCAGCACACTGACCTCCCTCCCCGTCACTCCCTGCCCACACAAGACAAAGTCCCATTGTGCTCACTCTAGGGCTTGCGGGACTGTTTCCCGCCCTCCTTTTCCAATTCAGCTTCTGCCTCTCACGGGCAAGGTTTGCTAAGCCTTCTCACACTCTGCTCCCTGCGGGGGCCAGAGTCCTTTCCTCCCTCTCTGTAGGGTCCTCACTCCACTCTGTCTTCTCACCTTTGACCTTGACCTCCACAGCGTCACTGCTGTCGTCGATACCGTGCTGGACCTCGCAGCGATAGACCCCGGAGTCATTGGGCCGCAGCTCGCTCAGCACCAGAGACACATCAGTGAGCGATGCGGGGTAGGCGGGCAGCGCCACTCTGAACCTGTAGGCTTCGTTTACCTTAACCCGCAGACCGCGCGCCACCAGCACCTCCGCCTCCCGGTCCCCAGACAGAAAGGTCCACTTGACCCGGGGAAAGCCCGGCGCGGCCCGGCGGCTGGTCAGCGGCCGCAGGTGGTGGACGTGGCATGGGATGGTCAGGGCGCCGCCCAGCACGCCCCGCAGCTGCGCGGTGCCAATGCGCACGCGGAAGGCTCGGTCCTCTGTGGACAGGGGTCAAAGCCCGCTGCAGCCAGACGCAGGACGCAGTGCGCCTGTGCGCGTGGCTCCAAGCCCCGCCCCCCAGGACCAACCCGCTCAGGGTGTCTTCGCCCAGCTCAGGATGCTGAGCCCTGCCCAGGGTCCTGAATCGGATCCTCCACCCTTAGCCTCTTGCCTTCCGGCCCTTTGCAGCCCTGACTCCAAGACTCCCCCACCTTCTAGGGTCCCCACCTCATTATCCCTGTTGGCGCCAACCCTTGCCCACAGAGCTTCCAGGTCTGTCTCCTTCCCGGTACCCGGGCTGGAAGCAGGTGGCTGGGGTTGAACTGAGACGGCTTTCTGTCCTAGGGGAGATGCTGCAGAGAGACAAAGGTCCTCTGGAGGGTTGCTTACCTGAGCTGTCCTCTTTCAGATCCTCAGCTAGGGCTGCAGGGGCCTGGGTCAGTACCAGGGCTGCCAGCAGGGACAGAAGCAGTGGGATCATGCTGCAAACTGATGGAAGAAGTTGAGGAGGAAAAAGGAAAGGTGCGGTTAGACTTCGGGATGGACTTCCTCTGGCTCTCTGTCACCCCATATGGGCAGCGTATACCAGAATCACCACTAACTCTGTTTCTGATCCCATCTCCTCAGTACCCAGAGGTGTCCCCAGTCAACTCATTGTGTGACCTAAGCCAAGGTCCTTACATTGCTGAGCCTCTGTTTTCTTAATTATAAAGGGGGAAAAAAGCACCATCATTACTACCTTATGCATTTTGATGTGGCCATGTGCTTTGAGTGATCTGTCTGCCTGTCTTTCTATCTGCCTATCTAGCTGCCATTTATACATAGTTATCGTTATCTATTATCTACTTACCCAACTATAATCTACAGCAGCAAGCACCCTGTGCACATGCCAGCACCAGACACAGAGTAGATGCCCAGTGAACGCTAATAACACAATGTTGAGTGGCACTGTGCAACTGACTCTCCGTACACTTGTGTTCCAGACCTGTGCATCCAACCAGCCACCCGTCAAACATTCAGAAAAAAAGAGTCTGTCCTGAACACATACAGATTCTTTGTCACTGTTCCCTAAACAGCATATATACACTTAGAAATTATAAGCCACCTAGAGACGGGTTCCTGTGTGTGAAAGGCGTGCGTAGGTGGGGTGCAAAGATGGCATTCTATGTGAATGCATAGAATACCTGCAGGTTCAGGCAGCCCCTGGGGGCTGGCGAGTCAAACCCACAGATCCATGGGGTGGGGTTGGGAGCACAGCTGTGGTCCCACTTTCCCCTGCCCTCAGGAGCCGACCCTAAGCCTCCTTCCCCAACGGTAAAGCCCAGACTCCCCTGCCCCGCCATTCCTCCTCCAGGAGGGCCTCCTAGACTGAACCCAGACACTGCAGCCTCTCCTGCTTCCTCCCCACAAGGACTTGTAAGGAAGCTTCCCTGGTGCCCAACATCCTCTGCCCCCTCCATCCCTCCTGCTCTGCTCCCAGTCATTCCCCTCTGCCTGGCACGGACTTTCCCACCGGATCTCCTGGCTCAGAAGCCAGCTGGGACAAAGACCCTGTCCCTGCCAGTCTGGCCTCTCTCCAGTGGCTCCTTCCCCCACCCATCTTTTGTGAAAGCCTACAACTTGGAGTGTACTGGAGAAGGGTACAGGGAGAGGCCAACCCCCCCCCCCCCCCCCCCCCCCCCCCCCCCCCCCCCGCCGCCCTGGCCACCAGCTCTGGAAGCAGCTTCTCTTTCTGAGGATCTCAGTGCACTTACACTCTCAGGGAAAAAGGGAGGTGGATGCCCAGAGAGGGCTAGGGCTAACTCTGGGCCACCAGCAGAGTCAAAGCTGGAGCCACTGTGCCCTCAGGAAGGACAGGAACACGGTCTTTAAGAGCCAGAGTTGGGAGAACACGAGGACCCAGGTCTGCATGGCTGATGATACAGCAGGGATCCAAGTTAAGAGGTCAGGCAAGATGTCCTACGGATTATACTTATCTGCACTGGCTGCCTCTCTCCTAGCCCTCCCTCGCTCTGCCTAAGTGATGGGAAATTTCCTCCCCTCAGGTCCTCCCAGGTCTTCCCAGGCCAGACTCCCCTGCTAACCACCGCTGTGGTCCTCACTCTTGGTTGGGCTGTACGAGCTGTAACTAGGGTTATCGCTGGGAAGCAAGAAGGGAGCCAGGTGCCGGGGCGTTCAGAGGAGGGGGGTTGCTGGAGAGGCCGGGCCGGTCCACTCTTCGGTGGGAGCAGGAGCTGCTCACACGCCCGGCCCCGTGGCCACCCCTTTTACCTGTGTTGGGACAGCAGGGGACGAGAGAGGAAGCCCGAGGTCAGAGGATCCGACTGCCTTGGGACATGGGTTTCCGACCCGAGTGGCCAAGAGCGGCTCCTGTTCGGAGCTCGAGCGCTCTGACCCTTCCCGGAGGAAGACGACAGAGACGCTACGCTAGCTCAGCAGCCCCCTGCCTCCGGCCGGGGCATCCTGGGCTGCTGCGCAGCTCGCCCACTGGCTCCTGCAGGCTGCGCGGCGGAGGCAGGGAACGAGGGGCCGCGTGGCTTGGGGCACCGAAGCCGGTACATCGCCCTGTACGCCTGCCCTAGGAGAGGCGCCCCCGACCGCGCCCTCGGGTGCGCGGGGGGGGACCCCAGGAAGCTGAGACGGGCGACCCTCCCCGTCGCCCACAGCAGTCAGGCCCGCGGCCCGCCCTCGCCCACGCCCGGATCCTCAGGCTCAGAGAGGTCAAGAAACTTGCCCAAGGTCACACAGCAAGTAAGCGGCCGGCGGGGGCCGGGCCTCCGCACTCACCTTGCGAGGTCCCCTCGGCACACCGCGCGTCCCGCAGCCGCCGCCGAGACTGCGGCGCAGTGCGCGGGCGCGAGCAGGGCCGGGCGCGCGGGACGCAGAAGGGGGCGCCAGCCCGCCGGGCGCCGCACAAAACCCCCTTTCTTCCCACGCGCCCCGCCTTCCGCGCCGTCCCCGACTCCAGCCGCCCCCGCGGGGGGCTCTGCGCGGTCACGGGACCCGCCGCCTTCTCTGCGCCGGTTCCGGGCGGCCGCGGCCAGAGCGAGGACAAGCGAAGTAGGACAAGGTTCCGCGGACGGGAGCCCAGGACTTGCGGCGGGGAGGGCAGAAGGGGCGGGGAGGGAGCGACGGAGGGCACGGTGGCGACGCCAGGAGGCGAGTGAGAACGCCGGAGGGACTAACCAGGGGGCCAAGGGAGGAGGAGGACCGACTCAAACTTCGTAGCGCAGAGGATGGAGGGCTGATGGGAGCTTTGACTCGGGAAAGAGGGCCCCGCCGGGTGAACCTGGCAAGCCGTTTGCTGAGGCCAGAGAAGGTGCTGACCACCACAGCCTCCCCCCTTGAGGAAGCTTTGGTTGGACTGGGCTCCCTCCGTGCTCCCTCTCCCAGCACAGAGGAGGAGCTGGCTTTGCAGTCGTTGGCTGGGCGGAGGTGGGACAGCAGAACGACGGGTTAGCCAGCGTAAGTCAAGGAAGTCTGGGGCGTCAGTGGCACAGTGAGTGGACGCTCCTGATGGAGCAGGCATCATAGGCTGCAAAAACCCATGTGCAGGGGAGAGCCTGCTAGCCCCGGTTGGGCTGCCCAGTGTGTAGCCTGGTGCCCGGGGGGTGGGCCTTGAGGACTGCCAGCTGCCCGCCCGCCCCCACTTTGCCCGCTGCTTCTCCCTGCTTTCCCAGGCTCGCCACTTTCTCCTCTCCCGCCTGGGACTCCAGGCAAAGCCTTGGCACCAACTTGAGGCGACTCAGCCAGATCCCTGCCCCTCAGTCCTCTGGACGCCAGCAAGGCCAGGGTGGGGGCCTTGGCCTCATCATCTCCAGATCCCCAAATGCACCCTGTGCACCTGCGACACCTTAACCCCCTAACCCAGGGAACGTCGGGACAGTTTCCCAACCATGCCCCACCCCCATGCTGTGGACTTAGGTCCAAAACGCCTTCAGAACCTCTAAAAAAACAAAGTCCTCTCCAAACCCTTAAAAGTTTAAAGAGAGGATTCCAGCTCATGCCGCCCACTGTAGGGACAGGACAGAAGGACCTTGGAACCAGAGCAGAATCACGCAGGGAGACAAATGCCAAGCAGTGGCACCCAAAAGGAAGGCGACAGAGTGGGGGTCCTGAAGAAGCTGGGCAGGAGGTCTTCGTTTATTCATTCCAAAGCCAGCTATGGACCTGGCCCTGTTTGGGGTTCTAAGACGGGTGGAGTCACCAGTCCGGAAGGACTCCGAGGCTTTGGGGGCCAGGGTGACATCTGCGTGACTCATCAACACAATGGCTACATAGGGCTGCAGGTCCACGGGGGTGGGGGTGGGGGTGAGGGGGTGCGATGGGGTGGGTGGAGGGGGGCGAGGCTAGGAAACCAAGGGACTGCAGTTCAGTCCAGTTGGTGTCTCAGATATAACACAGTCTTCGCCTGGGAAATCCTGACTGTGACCAGGGGAGACAGAGAAAGAGCCACCCCTCAACGTTCACAGTTACCAGTGCACACATCTTGGTGCCTGGGGAGACTGCTGTAGGCAGATTCCTGGGGCCTGGGGAAGCCAGGGGAGCAGAGAGCCAACTGTTAGGGACACCCTGGCCTCTGACCTCGCTCTTCTGCTTCTGGGCTGCAAGCCCACCCACACCCAGCAGGGCTCCAGCACACATGTGGGATCTTTTCTACATCACCCACACCCTGACGCAGGTCTGTCCCAACCGTTCTGACTAGGGGCTCAGAAGCCCACTGTGGCCTGGGCCTTTGTGAGGGAGCCCTTTCCAGAAAGCGGGCATTCTGAAGGCCTTTGTTGCCAGCTGGGGATATTTACACTGAGGTCTATGCAGACTCGACTCTAACCACTGCCCATAAGTACCTTCCCTCCAATTTTGAAGTCTGGTATCTTGACTCATAGCCAAAGGACGGTGTCCATTTCTATCCTCCATCCGAGGGGCAACTGGACTCATGCCTGCTCTGTGCAGGCCCTTTAGATCTTAGACATGGATCCTGGCACTGGAACCCAGCAGAGCCAGCGTTCCTGCACAAACTTGTGTCCTAGCAACAGGGTGCGATGGTTCACACAGCCTCAAGGGTCTTCTGGATGAGAAATGGTTACATGCAATGTCACAGGGGTTGGCTGCTTGAACCAGAAGCTTCTGGCCCTGGACTACTTACTTCACCAAAGGCTCGGGCAAAGAGGGAGGAGGAGAGGCAAGCTAAGAGACGACCAGGCCTCTCTGTCCCCACATGGTGCAGCTGGCTGTCTCCCAGCCTGCCCTGGAGATTTTCCAGGCTCTCTTGAAGAACCTGTGATCTCCTTCCACTTCCACACTCCAACAGCCCCCATAGAGGCCAAAGCTGTGGCCCGAGGTGCGAACCCAAGCTGCCCCCAAAGCTCCTGCCTTCCAAGCACCCTCTTCAGTGCTGGCTCTTACTGGGTGCCCATCTGAAGTGGCCACTGGGAGGGCTGTAGAGACTTGTCTCCTCTCTTGCATTCAGGCAGCCCCCCCCCCCAGGGCCCAGACACCTGGCTTCTTGGCTGGGAGGGGCTGAGTACTGGCACAGCTGTGCACAGAGAATGGGGGCTTTGATAGCCTCAGAAGGGGGTCAGGAAGTACAGGACCAGCTTAGAAACGCCAGGGAATGACTCTGAGAGATGCTGCAGCTGTGGGGGAGCTGGAGCCGGGGGTTGGATCTGCAGCCGAGCATCTAGCACCAGGGGCAGGCTCAGATATAACCACCGGAGACACTTTCCCTGCTGCGCCACTCCCGAGTGATGCTGGGGCATGCACCTTCTCCACATGTGAGATGGTGCCCACACCTTGTCGAGTGGTCTTGATGTTGGAGTGTAGCAAGCTTTCTTGGACTGCCAGTCCCCAAATCATGGAGAAGACTCATTACTAGTTAAATGCTCAGCCTTGTGTTTGTCCCACCAGCTCTTATAACTTAATTTAACTGTTTCTCTTCACCTATGCTTTGCCTTGGGTTTATTTATTTATTTTTTAACCTTTCATTCTGTGTGTCCTACTTTCCTGCTTTCTCCGTGGCTGCCTAGCTGGCTGGCCCCTGGTCTCTCGGTCTCTCGGTCTCTCGGTCTCTTGGTCTCTCGGTCTCTCTCTCTCTCTCTCTCTTTCTCTCATTCTCTCTCCTCCTACTTATGCTTTCTGCCCGACAGCCCTGCCTATTCCTCTACTGCCTAGCTATTGGCCATTCAGCTTTTTATTAGCCCAATCAGGTGCATTAGGTAGGCAATGTAAAACAAATACAGCACATCTTTATATAATTAAACAAATGCAGCATAAACAAATGTAACCCATCTTTACATAAACAAATGCAGCATAAACAGATGCAACACATTTTTACATAGTTAAACACAGCATAAAAAATGCAACATATCTTTACAAAGTTAAACAATATTCTACTCTGCAACATTGGAGCATGCACGTGTGGTAATATTGTGTCCCTCAATATATTGTGCACCCTAATAAACTTATCTGGGGTCAGAGAATAGAACAGCCACTAGATAGACATAGAGGCCAGAAAATGGTGGCACACACACCTTTAATCCTAGCATTCTGGACCAGAGATCCATTTGGATCCATGTGATTTCAAAGCCACACTGGAAACAGCCAGGCATGGTGGATCACACCTTTAATCTCAGGAAGTGATGGCAGGAAGCAGAAAGGTATATAAGGCATGAAAACCAGGAATTGGAGCCTTTTTAAGCTTTTAGCTTTTAGCAGCAGTTCAGCTGAGATCCATTCGGATGAGGACTCAGAGGCTTCCAGTTTGAAGAAACAAGATCAGCTGAGGAATTAGCAAGGTGAGGTTGGATGTGGCTTGTTCTGCTTCTCTGATCTTTCAGCGTTCACCCCAATACCTGGCTCCGGGTTTGTTTTTACTAATAAAACCTTTTAAGATTCATGCTACATAGCCCTACACTTGACTGCAGACAGGATGTCACATTCTTATGTGACGGTCACATCAGTCCCATTTCAGAACACTCACTGAGTAGGAGGGAAGAAACAGCCAACCTTTGTGCCCACGTCAGGGCCTGCAGTTTGGACCCATGAACAGAGTCACCAATGGTGGCGGTTCTGGTTCTGGAGACCCTGATGGAACTCCTCAGCAGTACTGTGCCCCCACAGGCTGCTTCTGTGCTCCATGTTCAAAGTTTGGCCCTCCAGAATGCCAGTCCTTGAGACCTACCAGCTGCTTTGGGGCACGCTGATTAATATGGGCTTCTTGACCCGGAAGGGAACAGTGTGCACTCACCAGTGCATATCTTGAGCTACCTTTGCCTGTCCTGACCAAGTACCTTGGCCAGTACCGGTGTGTCCAGGGCACAGAGGAAACGATGTGCCCCTGCCAGCTCCGTTAGATCGTGGCCTCTGAGCAAGGGTGCTGTGGATATCGCTCTGTATAAATAAACACTGATTGGCCAGTGGCCAGGCAGGAAGTATAGGCGGGACTAACAGAGGAAAATTGAGGGAACAGGAAAAAGGAGGGAGAGAAACTGCCAGCCACCACCAGGACAAGCAGCATGTAAAGATGCCAGTCAGCCAGGAGCCACGTGGCAAGGTATAGATTTATAGAAATGGGGGACTGCGTTCGCGCTCTCCCCTAAAAAAGAAAAAAAATAAAAAATAAAAAAAAGAAATGGGTTAATTTAAAATATAAGAACAGTTATCAAGAAGCCTGCCACGGCCACACAGTTTATAAGTAATATAAGCGTCTGAGTGATTATTTTATACGTGGGTTGTGGGACTGCAGGGCTTGGTGGGACCTGGAGAGAAGCTCTCCAGCAACACAAGGGAATTAACTTTACAGTGAAGGAGATGCCCACAGGGCCACTGGCCCTTCTAGCACCCGGAGCTGCCAGCCCAGCACACCTGTAGTCTTTTTCTTTCTCTTTCTCTCTCTCCCTCCCTCCCTCCCTCTGCCCTCTCTTTCATGTGTGTACATGTTCATGTGTGTGTTGCTAAAGTTCTTTCCCAGGGGAGACATATACAATACCTAGCCCTCCTCATAAGGGCCCAATGACAACCCGAGGTTCAATTCTATCGAAATTCATTCTTGGGGAGCCAAT